AAACCTGAGATGGGGGCTGAAGAGATGGCTCAGTGGTTAAGAGCACTAGCTGTTCTTCCATAGAACTGTGTTCAAATCCCAGCACCCCCACGCTGAACCATAAATCTAGTTCCAGGAGCTAAAGGCCCTCTTCTGGTCTCCATAGGTACACCACATGAGCACGGTACACAAATATACATGCAGGCAAAACACTCTAAAAACACTTTTTTTTTTTTTTTTAAAGGTAGCCACTAAGATGGCTCGGTGGTAAAGATCACAACTGGATGTTCTTCCAGAGAACCAACTGTTATTCCTATCACCCATGTGGGGCTCAAAACCAACCATTTGTAACTCCAGCTCGAAGGGATCTAATGCCCTCTTCTGGCCTCAAGGGCACCAAGCACTCAAGTGGTACATAAAAAGATATGCATGCAGGCAAACACCCATACATATAAAATGGGGAGGAAAGGGGGGAGGACACGACACCTAAGATAATGTCTATTGGAATATTATTTATAATTGCAAGTAAATTTAGTGACATCCTAAATGTTCAACTACCAAATGGTTAAAGTGTAGCATTGTGCTGGGAGGTGGTAGCACACGCCTTTAATCTCAGCACCTGGAAGGCAGAGGCAGGTGGATCTCTGTATGTTCCAGGCCAGCCTGGTCTATAAAGCAAGTTCCAGGACAGCCAGGACTGTTACACAGAGAAACCCTGTCTCAAAACAAAACAAAACAAAACAAAACAAACAAACAGCAAGTATAGCATTGTTCATCTGACAATGTAAACATTAAAAATGTTTTCAAAGCATCGGAAAAAAGTTCTATTTTATTTTAGAGTTACAAACAATGTAATCAAAATAACCATGTGACATCCCAGTAATGTAAAGCTCTCTTATTCCCCAACCCTCTGAAAGGGTAGATAGCAGTCTGGTGTCTTTTCTACACCTGGTGATATAATTTACTACAGATGTATGTTACTCGTAATTATAGTTCCTGGGAAAAGTGAAGCACCTTTGACTCTTCATGTATGTTCCTGCCTGTGCAAATTCTCATTCTGAATTTCCTTGTTCATGGAGATGAAATGTAAAGAGGTTAAAAAGAAAAAATGAAATATTTCCAAGTGTCTTTAGACCTAGATAAGGATCAAAACTGAAAATATCTCAATGTCAGGCATAAGACAAACTAAGTATACTCAAGTTAAGGTCTCTTCAGGTTGGAAATAAAAAACCTGAAAACCTAAGTGACTATGAGTCATTCAACATAATGCCTTAAGCTGAGTTATGATTTTACTGCTTGTTCTGATCATGAAAGCACACAGAGGTACCTTTAAATATACAAATTATTATTTTTAAATACCTAAATGTTTCTAGTTGAGGAAGGGGAAAGAGGCAGGCTGTTCACAAATGCAGAAAATCACAGCCCCATATGGAGAACAATTCAGGGGCTGGAGAAATGCTCACAGATCAAGAGCACTGACCGCTCTTCCAGAGGTCCTTTGCCAAGTCATGGCCCCACAGCAGTGAGGATGCAATTTCTGCTTCTGAACACTGAATATAAAGGATTTTGTTTTGGGCTTCTTATGTCTGAATTTCACCTGAAGCTGCAAATAGGCGAAACAAACTAACCAGGTGTGGTGGTACATGCCTGAAATCCTAGTACTCAGTAGTTAAGAGACAAGAGGACCAAGAATTCAAGGTCATCCTCAACTACACAGCAAGTCTAAGGATAATTTGAACTACATGAGCTTGTCTCAAAAAAAAGTTAAAGCAAATAAAATATGTATTGAACTGTACACAAAATAACACTAGAACTTACTACATGATTACACACACTTAACAAGATATATTCTTTAAAATCTTAAAAAAAAAAAAAAGGTGGGAGGTAGTTTGAAATAATCCTGACAAGGTGGCACACACCTGTAATCTCCACACAGGCACGTAGAATTCTGAGTTAGAGGCGAGCCTGGTCTACATTGTAAATTCCAGGCCAGCCAAGGAGGCTATATACCATGTCTCAAAAAGTTAGGATACAGTCTAAATTGAAAAAACTATAAAGAAATCCTACACTGGGCATGGTAGCACACGCCTTTAATCCCAGCACTCAGGAGGCAGAGGCAGGCAGATCTCTGAGTTCTAGGCCAGCCTGGTCTGTCTACAAAGTCAGTTCCAGCACAGCCAGGGGTGCACAGAGAAACCTGTCTCAGAAAACAAAAGTACTAAACTCCAGCTAGCAGATTTAAACTTTATTCTATAATACATTTTAGAATTTTTTTCTCGAGTTTTTTGAGATAGTCTCATGTAAGGAATGGATGAGATTGCGTGCACAGCTCTTACAAATGTGTTTGCTTCTTTACTGAGACACGGTCTCTATCTGTACCCTAGGCTATCCTCAAACTTGTAACCCTCCCACTGGGATTATAGGCATGTAGAACCACACCCTGCTTGAAACTTCAATGTTTTTATCCTCATATAGTTATTCATTCATATATGTATGTACCATATATGATGGTGTGAACAAACACACAGACAGACAGCCTCCCCCACCCCCCAGGGCTGGCCTCAAACTCACTATGTAACTTAGATGACTTGAACTCCTTATCCTTCTGCTTCCACCTCCCAAGCAATGGGCTTATAGGCATGCACTGCCACATTGTTTTAGGAAGTGCTAAGGATTGAACACAGGGATTTGTAGATGGTCCTATACCCATCTACATACTGGCAGCACTAAGTAGACTCTGAGTTTTTCAACACAGCATATGAAGTTGGGAGGAAGAGTAATAAGGAAGTGGAGGGGAGGAATTGGGGATTTGGCCTAAACATATGCAAGTATAAAATTCTCAAATAATAAACTACTATGTTTGGGTAAGACAAATTACAAAAACCTTATAACAAGTTTATTAAAAAAGAAAGGATTATTAAAATTTTTTGGCAGAGTCAGGCATGGTGGCACACACCTTTATATCCCAGCACTTGGAGGCAGAAGCAGACAGATCTCTGAGTTCAAGGCCAGCCTAGTCTACAGAGTCCCAGGACAGTGAAGATTATACAGAGACACTGTCACCCCCACAAATCCTGCCCCTCCCCCAAGAAAAGCAGTACTGGGGATTGAACCATAGCACCTTCCACACAGGCAGGCACTCTATCACATCTTAGGGATGTAGATCTCATGCCACATCTCTTATGCTGGTAAAACAAAATATATATATACATACACACACATGTATATATACATACATATATGTATTGATATAGATCGATAAGTATAAACATGTGTATATATACATACATACATACATACATATATAGAGACAGAAAGAGAGCTTCAAATCTAGAAATACAGATGTCTAGAATATCAGGTTGTATTTATGCAATCATATGAAAAAAAATCTCCTTTCAGAAGTTTAAAGGTAAAATGTCTATTAGCTCTATTAAGCAAAACAAAAACAGATGAAACAAATCTGGGAAGACACTAACAATATTAGGTGATATGTACTATTTGTTGTTGAGACAGTCACACACTATGTAGCCCTAGATGGCCTAGAACTTGCAATATAGAGCAGGCTAGCATCCAACTTTTAGCAATCTTCCTTCTGCTTCCTAAGGATTATAGGTATGAATACCACCACATTTGGCTTTATGAGACTGGGCCTTACAATACAGCCCAGGCTAGTCTTGAACTTACAGTAATATAACTTGGGCTTCCAGAGTACTGGGATTTTAGGAGTGCACCATCATGCCTGATTATTTTCCTACTTGCATATTTGAAGATTTTTCTTAACAAAAAGTAAAAAAGGCCATATATAGGGTGGTGGCACACACCTTTAATCCCAGCACTCAGGAAACAGAGGCATACAGACAGATCTCTGAGTTTGAAGCCAGCCTGATCTATAGAAGTGAGTTCCAGGACAGCAAAGGCTACACAAAGAAACCCTGTCTCCAAAAA